CAAATTCCATATAAAATTGTATCAAACTGTACTGTTCTTCTTACACATTTGAGTGATTAACTTTTTTTGTGAAGATTCATTTTAGTATGAGACTTGGAAATCAAAAGCATTGTACTGTAACATGACATGTTAGGAGATTAATTTACAGTAGGATTTCTCTGTCATCACTAGATGTCAGTGTTTTACTTTTTCAATGCCCTATTGCAATAATGTGATCCACCAGTCCTCAATTCCAGGTATTTATTTGATTTCTACCAAACACCTAGTACTAATACATAGGCCTACTGATTCCACTAACAATGTTAAATACACACTTTCCTTTCTTCTTTATATCTGTTTATTCAAAATACATCAAAGGAAATTATTTAACGAAGGCTGTCAATTTCTGGCTCTGTTTCTTATATACAGCTAGCTAGTAGTAATATCTTCCTCATCACCTGTTTTTGTGTCATCACAGGCAAAGGTACCTTTAACCGTGATAGCTTCCTGGGTCTAATGGCATTGGCCCACGAAAGAGCAAAGGGCCAAGATGCGGCGCTACGAGCTGCTTTCAAAGTGTTTGACAAAGAGGCCAAGGGATATATATCGAGTGGAATACGCTGAAGTAAGCCTGACATTACCTACAGCATCTATGGCTTGGTTCCAGTTTAGAGACCTTTTTGCCCGTTGTTTTTCCTCAATATGAACTTAAATTAACTTTAAGAATCAGTAACAAACCACCTCTATTTGCAGGTACAGTATGTGTTGATGAATGCAGGAGAACAACTGAATGAGTTAGAGGCAGAGCAGATGATGAAGGAGCCAGATAAATATTGAGACAGAAGCATCGACTATGAAGGTAGCAGTAGACCAGTCTCTCAAAATCATATTGATATTATCTCAATGAGACTAACTTGGATAAAAAAGATTGAACAAATAACCTTAATTTAAAGCATCCTATTTTCTTCCCAAAATGTGTGGCCAAGATGACTGGAGACTCCTTCAAGATGAGCTAAGTGAATCAAAGAAGCCAGAAATGAAGAGTGAACATTATATTGGTCAGGGATGACAGTGTTGGTTACTGTCCTGAACATCATGCTTCACCTGTTTTGATAACGTATGATGATAAAATAAGACAATTTCTCTCAATATTGGTCCTCAAGTATGCAGATGTTTTCATTCAAATAAGAATGTGGCTATTACTGCGTTGTGTGCTGACTGATTGACTTGAATTCTTATGGGTGATTTTTGGCATAAATATAGGATCTCATATGTATGATTTCTCAAAATTACAAAAAACTAAAACAAATCCTTACAACCTATGAATGAAAAGGGCTTGAGTGAAAGCACATTTGCCTCAATGAGAATCCCCAGTCCCTTGCCTGTTAGAGGATGTGACATCATAGGGTTAATTTCCCCAGGCCAGCCACCCGGATATAATCATCCTCCTTGGCCTGACAGCATCTCCCCAACCATTAAATCCCATTCTCATCCCTATAAAGCCAGATGGATGGCTCAGGGAGCCAACGCCAGCTGCCGCTTTCACCCCATCCGACCTATCACAGGAGGGATGGGGGAGGGAGATTTGGATTACAGTGCTCTGGTTGCAGCATCCCTGGAGCTGCTACTGTTATCTGAAACACAACAAGGGCCAGGATAGGGGAACAGATCTAAAGAGGAAAGAAGAGATAAACAGGGGGAATCCTTTGGAAGCATCCAGGGGTCTGGTTGCTTTGTGTGGAGTGGAGCAGGAGGTGAGAAGGAGTGTGTTTTCTATGTAAACAGCCCCTCAGTCAGTGGAGCGGCTGCTTGTGTTACTGCTGAGGAGAAGGGAGAAGCAGAGGAGCGGTAGAGAGAGGAGGAGGAGGGGTGGACAGAGGAGGAGGGGTAGAGAGAGGAGGAGGAGGAGGAGGGGTGGACAGAGGAGGAGGGGTAGAGAGAGGAGGAGGAGGGGTGGACAGAGGAGGAGGGGTAGAGAGAGGGGGAAACGTTCCTTCTCCCTAGGATATTACCCCTCCTCTATCTGGCTGCCTACTACGGCTCCTTTAAAAAAAATAGTGGTTCTCCCATCACATCGAGGAAAGGTAGGTACATACCCCTAATCTGGGAGGGCAATTAAGACAAGAATTTGCATGTTACGTTGGCAGGATTAAAAGCCAGGCGTTTGCCATATTTATACTCATTGATTTACAGAGGAATGAACACTGTGCAACAACATTTCATGGTGTGAAAAGGACAATAAGAGATGACTGTCTTTGTACTGTATTTGATCTCCAATTGGACAGTGACAAAGGCTGAGACTAGCTCTGGGTTGGGATTGGTTGAGATCTTGCACTGCACATGTTCCTCATTAGGAAAACAAACAGAGACAGACAGGCTGGCAGACTGCATTCTGAGGAGGGTGGGACCGGGGATGGCTCATGTGTCTTTGTTTTCACGGCTCGCTTCGAGGCAAGCAACACACTGAACCATGCATGAGAGCACCAGCAGTTCGTGAGGACTGTGGGATCTCGCTCTCCGTAGCCAATGTGAGTAGGACCTTTAAATCGGTTAATGTTCACAAGGCCGCGGGCCAGACGGATGACCAGAACTCTCCCTGACCCAGTCTGTAATACCTACATGTTTCAAGCAGACCACCATAGTCCCTGTGCCCAAGAACACAAAGGTAACCTGTCTAAATGACTATCGTCTCGTAGCACTCACATATGTAGCCATGAAATGCTTTGCAAGGCTGGTCATTGCTCACATCAACACCATCATCCCAGACACCCTGGACCCACTCCAATTTGCATACCACCCCAACATATCCCAACAGTTGCACTCCACACTGCCCTCTCCCACCTGGACAAGAGGAACACCTATGTGAGAATGCTGTTCATTGACTACAGCTCAGCGTTCAATACCATAGTGCCCTCCAAGCTAATCACTAAGCTCAGGACCCTGGGATTGAACACCTCCCTCTGCAACTGGATACTGGACTTCCTGATGGGCCACCCCCAGGTGGTGAGGGTAGGCATCAACACATCCGCCACGCTGACCACGGGGGCTCCTTGCTCCTTGTTCACCCACGACTGAGTGGCCGCGCATGACTCCAACACCATCATTAAGTTGACTGACGACATGACGGTGGTAGGCCTGATCACTGACGACAATGAGACCGCCTATAGAGATGAGGTCAGTGACCTGGCAGAGCGGTGCCAGGACAACAACCTCTCCCTCAACGTCAGCAAGACAAAGGAGCTGATTGTGGACTACAGGAAATGGAGGGCAGAGCATGCCCCCATCCATATCAACAGGGCTGCAGTGGAGAGGGTCGAGTGCTTCAAGTTCCTCGGTGTCCACATCACTAAGGAATTAACATGGTCCATACACACCAACACAGACATGAAGGAGGCTGAAAAGATTTGACATGGGCTCTCAGATCCTCAAAAAGTTATACAGCTGCACCATTGAGAGCATCTTGACTGGCTGCATCACTGCTTGGTATCGCAACTGCTTGGCATCCGACCGCAAGGCGCTACAGAGGGTAGTGTGTACGGCCCAGTACATCACTGGGACCGAGCTCCCTGCCATCCAGGACCTCTATACCAGGCAATGTCAGATTGTCAAAGACTCCAAATAGCTACCCGGACTATCTGCATTGACCCTCTTTGCACCAACTCTTTTGACTCATCACATATGCTGCTCCTTCTGTTTAATATCTATCCTGTTGCCTAGTCACTTTACCCCTACCTATACATATCTACCTCAATTACCTCATACCCCTGCACATCGACTCGGTACTGGTACCCCGTGTATATAGCCAAGTTATTGTTACTGATTGTGTATTTATTCATTGTGTTATTATATTTTCTATATTTTTCTCTCTGCATTGTTGGGAAGGGCCCATAAGTAAGCACTTCACTGTTCGTCTACACCGGTTGTTTACGAAGCATGTGACAAATACCATTTTATTTTGTGTGACACTATAGTAGGGTGTATCATGTCTGCCCTACTATTGTCCATGGCATAATTCAGCATGTCAATCCATTGACCCTCTGGCTCACACTTTAACTAATTATATCTTATGAAGGCTTAATGAAGCCTTCACTAGCCCTTTATAAAGTCTATATAAATGCTTTATAAATCATCATAAGCAAATACTATATAAAAGGTGGTGTGTGTGTTGGTTGTGTAGTACTCATTAATGTATAAACTTTGGAGCGACTGTGTAAACACCTTTTGACACATCGCCTAACAAAGTGTGCTGAATTTCTGAGTGTTGGTTTTCCTCTGTATTTTCTCTGCTATGTTCTGCCACTCTTTTCTCTGCATCTGGTGCCCACATCCTGCCCACAACACCCGCTGCTGCCCTGTTGGCACAACAGGTTATGGGGTTTAATCTGATAGAACCAGGGGTAGGGACGTATATATGCTTTTACCTACTTCTACAAACACACACTTTTACGAGGCCAAGAGCTAGTCATGTCATGAGCCCTGTGAAAAATACACAAGATTATTTTGCATCTAGTTTCGTTTTTATGGATGATGCACCTTGGTGGCAATTTGTTTCAGCATTCCACAGAAATATTAACACCTGACTGCTTTCAGTAGGTGATCAGAGGTTTTGCCTTTATCAGAACCAGAATGAAAGTCCCCTCCTATTTGACAAATGTGTCCTTCAGACCTCAAACATACTACCCACCTAAACACACACACACACACACAAAACCAACCTACAACCAACCAAGCCATATGATATGCTATTGTAGTGTGCATAATATGTTTGCTTGTTTTCTGATCTGATGGTGTTAAATGATCTGTTTCAGGTTCTGCCTGGAGAGTGTGTTCTGGTGTGCTCAATGCATTCCCAATGCTTCAGCAGATCTCAGTCCAGAGAGAGCCAACCTGCGGCTGTTGTGACACAACAAGACAACTCTCCACATTCCTTTGTTGTTTCCTCTTGGCTGAAACCATGGATACGACTATGGCCAAGACAACCGCTAGCTTTCTCTCCACTGTCTCTAGCGCCTAGCGCCTCCATGACCACCCTTCTCACCGTTACAACGGACACCAGGATGGAACGGGACAACGTCACCGAGTCCAGGACAACACTAATGGTCACTAGCATTACTATAACAACAACCAACGAGACAAGTTTCAACGCCACCAAGAGGGCTCTGAGATGGGCATGGTGCTGGTGCCCTTTGGGATCATCACTGTAATTGGCCTGGCATTGGTCGTGATAAGAAAGCAATCACTTTAGTCATTACCTAGTTTCCATGCCCACAACATATGTATGTTTGTCACGACAGTGTACAGTATGAATAAGTAGATTTTTCTCCTCTTATCTAATTAACAATGATCTGTGTGTCTCCCTGTGCCCCACCATGTCTCCCACTCCCAGATGCTGTATATCAGGAAACGGAAGAGGTAAGGAAATGTACTTTAATTGCAAAGTAGTTCCTTGAAATTCCTCATTATATATGAGTTAAAATTATCAGCCAGATTTGTGAAAGGGAGGGCAACCTTCCATGAATATCCAAATAATCATAGCATTAAGAGAAAACTGTCAGTAATCTTTGACTTGGGACCCCAATGGTTGAACGAGATGACGTTAGCACAGCAGAGTCCCTGCCCATATTCTGAAAACTTCTGAAAACCTACCTTAATCAAATGATTAAATAACACTCCTTTTCCTACTAGCACTGACTTTGCTGATAACTATTTTATTGATGAAAAAGTGACTTAATATGATTGTGATATGTGGTTGTCTCACCTAGCTATTTATTTATTTATACTTTTTTTCAGAATGAAATCTCTTTTTCAATGAAAAAAAACAAAACAAAAACAATACTTAGTAACATAAATAATATGGCAACTACTGTCTAATAATAATAACAATGAAATAAAAAGAAACATAAAAAAATTACTTACAATAAAAGCATCAAAAAGTTGTTGTATAACTACTAATAAGACTACAACTAATAAAAACTACTGCTACAACTACTAATACAACTAAGTATGTATAATACTGTATATACATATATATTTACAAATATCTTCACATGGTGATGTTTCTATTAGTTAAAAACACAAACAGTTTGTTCCTAACAATTGAAAAAGGGCTTTCTTAAATTCAATGTGTGATTTGACTGCCCTGATTTCTATAGGTACATTTTTTCCAGTCAGTTGGGTCTTTGTATCTGAAAGATCTTACTCCAACCTCATGATGTTCCCGTGGAATTTGTAATTGCTGCTTTTGTCAAAAGGAGTACTGGGAGTCTTGTAATGTATGGTGTTCCTTAATATATACTGGGACATTTAAATTTGATACATTTTAAAAGAAATTGGTACCAATGCAGTTATCTTCTGTTTGGGAGTGACAGCCAATTTAGTGATTCATACATTGTGCAATGATGTGTCTTGTAATGGCATCCAAGACTTAATCTGCAAAGATTGTTATAAATGACATCTAATTCGCAAAGTAAGGTCTTGGTTGTGTTTTGATAGATGATGTCACCATAGTCTAGGATAGGAAGCAGCAGTTGGGTTACTACATTCTTTCAGATGGATATAGTAAAACAATTCTTAGATGTGTACAGTGGGGGAAAAAGTATTTAGTCAGCCACCAATTGTGCAAGTTCTCCCACTTAAAAAGATGAGAGAGGCCTGTAATTTTCATCATAGGTACACGTCAACTATGACAGACAAAAGAGAAAAAAACATCCAGAAAATCACATTGTAGGATTTTTAATGAATTTATTTGCAAATTATGGTGGAAAATAAGTATTTGGTCAATAACAAAAGTTTCTCAATACTTTGTTATATACCCTTTGTTGGCAATGACACAGGTCAAATGTTTTCTGTAAGTCATCACAAGGTTTTCACACACTGTTGCTGGTATTTTGGCCCATTCCTCCATGCAGATCTCCTCTAGAGCAGTGATGTTTTGGGGCTGTCGCTGGGCAACACAGACTTTCAACTCCCTCCAAAGATTTTCTATGGGGTTGAGATCTGGAGACTGGCTAGGCCACTCCAGGACCGTGAAATTTTCTTACGAAGCCACTCCTTCGTTGCCCGGGCGGTGTGTTTGGGATCATTGTCATGCTGAAAGACCCAGCCACGTTTCATCTTCAATGCCCTTGCTGATGGAAGGAGGTTTTCACTCAAAATCTCACGATACATGGCCCCATTCATTCTTTCCTTTACACAGATCAGTCGTCCTGGTCCCTTTGCAGAAAAACAGCCCCAAAGCATGATGTTTCCACCCCCATGCTTCACAGTAGGTATGGTGTTCTTTGGATGCAACTCAGCATTCTTTGTCCTCCAAACACGACGTGTTTAGTTTTTACCAAAAAGTTCTATTTTGGTTTCATCTGACCATATGACATTCTCCCAATCCTCTTCTGTATCATCCAAATGAACTCTAGCAAACTTCAGACGGGCCTGGACATGTACTGGCTTAAGCAGGGGGACACGTCTGGCACTGCAGGATTTGAGTCCCTGGCGGCGTAGTGTGTTACTGATGGTAGGCTTTGTTACTTTGGTCCCAGCTCTCTGCAGGTCATTCACTAGGTCCCCCCGTGTGGTTCTGGGATTTTTGCTCACCATTCTTGTGATCATTTTGACCCCACGGGGTGAGATCTTGCGTGGAGCCCCAGATCGAGGGAGATTATCAGTGGTCTTGTATGTCTTCCATTTCCTAATAATTGCTCCCACAGTTGATTTCTTCAAACCAAGCTGCTTACCTATTGAAGATTCAGTCTTCCCAGTCTGGTGCAGGTCTACAATTTTGTTTCTGGTGTCCTTTGACAGCTCTTTGGTCTTGGCCATAGTGGAGTTTGGAGTGTGACTGTTTGAGGTTGTGGACAGGTGTCTTTTATACTGATAACAAGTTCAAACAGGTGCCATTAATATAGGTAACGAGTGGAGGACAGAGGAGCCTCTTAAAGAAGAAGTTACAGGTCTGTGAGAGCCAGAAATCTTGCTTGTTTGTAGGTGACCAAATACTTATTTTCCACCATAATTTGCAAATAAATTCATTAAAAATCCTACAATGTGATTTTCTGGATTTTTTTTCTCAATTTGTCTGTCATAGTTGACGTGTACCTATGATGAAAATTACAGGCCTCTCTCATCTTTTTAAGTGGGAGAACTTGCACAATTGGTGGCTGACTAAATACTTTTTTTCCCCACTGTATAGTAACCCAAGCTTATAGTTAATCATTTTATACAACTATCTTAAGATGAATGCACTAACTGCAAGTCACTCTGGAAAAGAGCGTCTTCTAAATGACTAACATTTAAAATGTAATGTGTTTCTAACAATTCATTAAAGGTTTCAATACTACATAGATACATTTTTCTAACTATTTCTTTCCTCCTGCCCTCTGTTCACTGTTCAGACTGGAGAAGCTGAGGCACCAGCTGATGCCCATGTATAACTTTGACCCGGCAGAGGAACAGGATGACCTGGAACAGGAACGACTGGACAACAACCTCACAGGACCGAATAACAAGGTAGTATACGACACAGGTCTGAAGCAGTGCCGCGGCTGCACTCCCCTGTTCAGTGATACTGATCATCTACTGTAGATCTATGATGATACATTTACATTTGAGTCATTTAGCAGACGCTCTTATCCAGAGCGACTTACAGTTAGTGAGTGCATACATTTTTCATACTGGCCCCCCGTGGGAAACGAACCCACAACCCTGGCGTTGCAAGCGCCATGCTCTACCAACTGAGCTACAGGATACATGCAAGTCTTGACGGTTACATTATGTTCAGACTCATCTTTAATAACCTGCAGTGATCTATTGCTCACTGATCCACAGCTACTGTATCTTGGTTCAGAGCATCAAAATGTCCTCCTACAGAGCTTTGGGATTACAGTGCTTACATTACCTGTAACCAGTTGCTATTTTATACTCATATTAATTTACTTTTTTCTTTATATTTTCTTTTAAGTTTTGACAATAAGCAAAATGGTAATAAGTAAAATATGGTAAAGTATAATTTGTGTCTGTTGTTACATTTTTCTTAAGCTACCCTTAAAAAAAATAACAATTACATACTACGTGTGGACCTTGCCGTGTTAATCATTCACCATTTACATACAACAAATTCAAAGATTACAACATAATACTGTACACACATGCACAAACCTTTCCACTACACTGGAGTGACACACACCTATACCCTCATTTCACATATTTTCTCTGTGTGCCTAATACCATCAAGTTGTTGATTACTGCCTATCACTTTCATCTCACTGCTCCTAAATGTCCCAATATAATTGATTTCCTAATTGTCCCCTCGTGATTGACATGACTAGGCTATGTATTTGATTATAACAATATGTGTGTGGCAGTACTGGCTTTCCTTACAGACGTTTCACTGACAAATAGTACATAATTAGCTCTTCCAAATGAACATACAGTAGATATTTTAAGTAATCGATTCACTTTTCCACCCCTTTCTTTGTTTCCCTAACGCTACATTACTAAAACAAATGTTATAAGCAATCATAGCAGTGGCAGATTCATTATTCATTGGTTACAAAAGGAAAATCTGTTCATATGACCACTTATGGCCATGGCATTACGAAGTTATGGTAGATGATTCTAGTATGACCATGGTAAGTATTGTGTCTCACAGTTTTAGACCTGGAACAACAAGGGAATGGACATTCTACACATTGGAGAACTAGAACACGACATCAGGAGATCTGGAGGACTATTACTGCTGCAGGACAATGTCTGGGGAACTGTAACCCACCTAGTGGACACTACTGTACTGTACCCCCGTCCACACATCCAAAATGTGTCCTTCAGCACTTCTGTCTCTATCTCTCCCTTTGCCCTCAAAGTATTAGTATGTTTCCTCTATAAGTAATAAAGCAGCTGCATTGGTTTCTATACACTAAAATATACAGTATTTAAACAACAGTATTTAAACAACAGTATTTAAAACAACAGTATTTAAACAACCACTTATTATGCTGCTACTTTTTGATGAATACATGACAAACGAACATAGCTATGTGATACTTTTATTGGTAACAGACAGACCAAGCAGCACCTCTATACTCATGCAAAAACACACAATAAAGCGAGACAGATCAGAGGCAAACAAAAAAACACCCTTTTGAGTTAAAATTGATTAAATTGAAAATAAATCTTCATGAAGTGTATGATCAAGAAGACTGAAATGAAAGGGACACATTTTCAAATGTCGCAAACACAAAAAGCTTAAAAAATGGAGATGTTACAAGATAACAGGACCTAACTACACTATTCAATATTTAAAAGCCCTCGTACATAAAGCATTACAACAAGTACATTAAATAAACTCCTAAAATGTGTGTGTGTGTGTATATAGATATATATATATATATATATATATAGACACAGTGAGGGGAAAAAGTATTTGATCCCCTGCTGATTTTGTACGTTTGCCCACTGACAAAGAAATGATATATAATGATCTATAATTTTAATGGTAGGTTTATTTGAACAGTGAGAGACAGAATAACAACAAAAAAATCCAGAAAAACGCATGTCAAAAATATTATAAATTAATTTGCATTTTAATGAGGGAAATAGGTATTTGACCCCCTCTCAATCAGAAAGATTTCTGGCTCCCAGGTGTCTTTTATACAGGTAACGAGCTGAGATTAGGAGCACACTCTTAAAGGGAGTGCTCTTAATCTCAGTTTGTTACCTGTATAAAAGACACCTGTCCACAGAAGCAATCAGATTCCAAACTCTCCACCATGGCCAAGACCAAATAGCTCTCCAAGGATGTCAGGGACAAGATTGTAGACCTACACAAGGCTGGAATGGGCTACAAGACCATCGGCAAGCAGCTTGGTGAGAAGGTGACAACAGTTGGTGCGATTATTCGCAAATGGAAGAAACACAAAAGAACTGTCAATCTCCCTCGGCCTGGGGCTCCATGCAAGACCTCACCTCGTGGAGTTGCAATGATCATGAGAACGGTGAGGAATCAGCCCAGAACTACACAGGACGATCTTGTCAATGATCTCAAGGCAGCTGGGACCATAGTTACCAAGAAAACAATTGGTAACACACTACGCCGTGAATGACTGAAATCCTGCAGCGCCCGTAAGGTCCCCCTGCTCAAGAAAGCACATATACAGGGTCGTCTGAAGTTCGCCAATGAAGCCGTGTTTGGAGGAGGAGGAATGCTGCCTATGACCCCAAGAACACCATCCCCACCATCAAACATGGAGGTGGAAACATTATGCTTTGGGGGTGTTTTTCTGCTAAGGGGACAGGACAACTTCACCGCATCAAAGGGACGATGGACGAGGCCATGTACCGTCAAATCTTGGGTGAGAACCTCCTTCCCTCAGCCAGGGCATTGAAAATGGGTCGTGGATGGGTATTCCAGCATGACAATGACCCAAAACACATGGCCAAGGCAACAAAGGAGTGGCTCAAGAAGAAGCACATTAAGGTCCTGGAGTGGCCTAGCCAGTCTCCAGACCTTAATCCCATAGAAAGTCTGTGGAGGGAGCTGAAGGTTTGATTTGCCAAACGTCAGCCTCAAAACCTTAATGACTTGGAGAAGATCTGCAAAGAGGAGCGGAACAAAATCCCTCCTGAGATGTGTGCAAACCTGGTGGCCAACTACAAGAAACGTCTGACCTCTGTGATTGCCAAAAAGGGTTTTGCTAAGTCATGTTTTGCAGAGGGGTCAAATACTTATTTCCCTCATTAAAATGCAAATCAATTTATAACATTTTTGACATGCGTTTTTCTGGATTTTGTTGTTGTTATTCTGTCTCTCACTGTTCAAATAAACCTACCATTAAAATGATAGACTGATCATGTCTTTGTCAGTGGGCAAACGTACAAATCAGCAGGGGATCAAATACTTTTTTCCCTCACTGTATATATATATACATATATATATATATATATATATACACACACACACTGAATATACTGTATCTATATCAGTAAGCTTATAGAGCAACACTGTCAATATGATATAGATAGTGGATATCCTGACATTGCTGAGGTATGACGTTAGGTTAGGAGGCACTTTTACTGACATCATAATGCAGTACTTTGGGTTTATTTACCAGTACGGTATGCTGTTATGAACCTAGTGAGATGAGTGGACAGCAGATATATGTTCTATAGCCATGATAAGATCGCAGGGGACAAGCAAAGCTAAAATCAGTCAGCCACCCCTCTGGGACAGTGCTCAGTGCCAAAAACAGACTCGTTTCAGACGTAGTCCACAGGGCAAACAGTGATTCCAGCCAAAGAGGTGAAGTAACAAGAAAAAGACAGAGTATAGGTTAGAAAAGTCTCACAGACATACTAACTTGCAACTGACAGAAAAACTAAACGCTTGGACTTTCCCTAGAAAAAGACTGCATGTGGATAAGTCCAGCCTCTCCAGAAATACATTACAGGAAGATCCAAAACAAAATGTTAACTTTTACCTCACTATTTCATGTCTCACACGTCACTGACATCAATTCATCAAACGGTATGGTTGTTAATCTAACACATCTGCAGTGTGAAAGTTAGAACATGAAATGAAATGATGACATTGTATCTTATGTAAAAAGCGAAGATATAGGAAAATGTAAGGGTTCACAGAGGTTGTGATATAACAAATAAAGAAATTCATGAGTAAGTAAAAACTACAGTAAACAGTAAAATATTGGGTCATTTTGAACCCAGGTACTGTAGATTGACCAATTCTTATGACAGGCATTTCATCAGAGCCACTAAATGCTTCTGCTAGGACTCGCTTAAGAGTCTGTCAGCATGGAAGTGGAAGGGAGAGAGTGAGGCTAGCGGGTACAGTACGTATGGGAGTATCCTGAGTAGGTGTGTGTGTGTTCGTTTTTTTCGTATGGGGAGAGGCTATAAGAGTTCTCTGCTTTTCTGTGACTGAGGTAGACTGAAAGGCAAAGGGACTGAGGTGAGTTGAGGTCTGAATGAGGTTTATGTGTGTCAAGTCATATTGTGAATGTCAAAAACAAATCAGAATTACACAATAAAAATAGAATAATATCATAACTGAGTAGAATGACATGTTCCTGAATAGCTAAATGCATAGCTACATTAAGGCAAAATACCTGAGGTTTTAATGAGTGTATTGAGAACATAAAGGTAAATACAAAACCTGAGTGTGGTCAGATGTCATGTCAATTGGACACTGTTGAGTTTAGACTTATTTCTGTTCATGTTAATGTCAATGTAAAATGTATTCCCATTCAAATGTACGTATATCTAACAAAATATCCCTATGTTTCTTCACAATCAGGACAGACATAAGGTAAATTGGGTCATGCCTCTTGTCCCAATAATCGCTGTTTGAAATGCATCCTTTTCTTTTTAAACCCCCTCTCCACCATCCCACCACCATTATCACCACAAACACATACACACACACACACACGCACACACACACACACACACACACACACACGTACCTGCTCACACACACACACACACACACACACACA